AATACTATTACGGAAAGGATGCCAGTGATGAAAAGGCAAATAAATTAGTATTAAATGTTATGGGTAAAAAGAAGTATGTTTTACATATATCAGCATTGAAATTCTATTTACAACATGGATTACGTCTTAGAAAAGTCCATAGAGCGATGAGTTTTAAGCAAGCAAATTTCTTCAAACCATTCATTGAATTCAACACCGAAAAGAGACAGAATGGCAAAAATGATTTTGAAAAAGATTTGTTTAAGCTAATGAACAACAGTGTATATGGCAAGACCATGGAGAATGTAAGAAAGCATGGTGATTATGAGATAGTCAATACGCCTGAGCGCTTCCAAAAATTGGTATATAAATAAACCGCTATTCAAGCACAGGTATATCATAAATGAAGACCTTGTAATTATTAAAAAGATAAACACACAGTGGAACTAAACAAACCTATCTATATGGGTATGTCTATTTTAGACTATTCTAAAATTCACATGTATTCCTTCTATTATGATGTTTTGAAAACAAAATATCAAAATAATATCAAGTTGGTAAATATTGATATTGATAATTATGTAATAAAAATTGAGATTGATAACATATATGAAGACTTTAAGGAGATTAATAAATACATGGATTTTAGTGATTATCCACCAGGGCATCCAAACTATGATAAAACAAATAAGAAGGTATTAGGCAAGTTCAAGGATGAAATGAACGGTAAAATAACTACTCGTTTTATGGGATTGAAACCAAAAGCATATTGTTATAAAGTATATGGTGACGAGAAAGAACACAAGAAAAGTAAAGGAGTAGTCAAGCATAAAGTGAGCAATCAGTTAAGTTACAAAACCTATAACAAGACATTGAATAGAAATTGTAAAGAAGAAGTCAATTTCAACACTATCAGAAGTAAGAACCATCAAATCTAAAGCATTAATCAGACTAAGTATGCTTTAAGCAACTACGACAATAAACGCTACTAGTATTCAGATTTTGAGAGTTTCCCGTTTGGACATTATGCAATAAAATATCTACACAATGAAAAGATGATTTAAGATATATGCATATAAATAGATACGAACACATTTGAAATGGGACACATTGAAAAAATAGTTGCTGCTGGTTGAAATAATTGCTGCATCGGTTCAACAAATTTGAAAAAACTAAGTCAAAGAATGGCAAGACATAGAACAGATTATAAATATAAATCTTATAGAATGGGCTAGCGCCCTGGTGCCGCCGACCCCCCCTATTTGGGGGGTCCTGTAGAGAGAGGGAGGGAGAGAGAGAGAGAGAGAGAGACAGATAGATAGATAGATAGATAGATAGATAGATAGATAGATGGCAATGGCAATGGCAATGGCAATGGCAATGGCAATGGCAAAACCCCTGCCGTGAAGCATTTGAGAGGTTTGAGAGCTGGCAAACGGGAGGAATGCACGCGGTAACAACAGACGCGATGGAAGCAAACGGCGGGCTGGAACGTTCCAACAACAAATGCCTGCGGCCAGTGTGCCTGGTGGAAGCTGCTGCGAGGGATTTTGAAGGTCTTAACGATTTGAAGGGTGGCAAACGGCAAGCTTGGACGCCCTAACAACAGAGGGCCATGCAGGCAAACGGCAGGCTGCAACGCTGGAACAGCAAAGGCTTACGGCCAGAGGGCTTGGTGGAAGCTGCCGCGAGGGATTTGGAGGGTTTTCGGGGTTTTCAGGGTTTTAACGGTTCGAAGGCTGGCAAACGGCAGGCTTGAACGCCCTAACAACAGAGGGCTATGCAGGCAAACGCGGGCAAACGGCGGGCTGCAACGCTGAAACAGCAAAGGCTTACGGCCAGAGGGCTTGGTGGAAGCTGCCGCGAGGGATTTGGAGGGTTGTATGGGTTTTAAGGGTTTGAAGGCTGGCAAACGGCAGGCTTGAACGCCCTAACAACAGAGGGCTATGCAGGCAAACGGCAGGCTGCAGGCTGCAACGCTGGAACAGCAAAGGCTTACGGTCTTGGTGGAGTGCCTGGACGAAGCTGCTGCGGAGCGTTTTAGGGGTTTTAGGGGTTTTAGGCGTTTGACGCCTGGCAAACGGCAGTCTTGAACGCCCCTAAGAACAGAGGGCTGAGCCTGGCAAACGTCTTGAACGCCCTTAAGAACAGAGGGCTGAGCCTGAACAAGGGGTTTCAGGCAAACGGCAGGCTTGAACGCCCTTAACAACAGAGGGCTGTGGCCTGAGTGCCTGGTCGAAGTTGCCACGCACTGTTGTAGGGGTTTGAAGCCTGGCAAGCGGCAGGCTTGAACGCCCTTAACAACAGAGGGCTGTGGCCTGTCGAAGCTGCAACAGAGGGCTGTGGCCTGAGTGCGTGGTCGAAGCTGCCACGGAGCCTTGCAAAAGTTCCACACCTACGGTGGTCCCAGGCACCGCCCCTGCCTTGGCGAAGGCCGGGGTCGGTGGATCTAAACAATAGAAATTCCCCAAAAACGCCGTCCTAACTCTATGAAATCGTTTGGTGAGTTCGGTGTTGAAAACTGCAAAATGGTTCTTATTGAAGAATGCCCATGCCAAAACAGAGAGCAACTCAAAAAGAGAGAAGGTGAATATATTGAAAATGATAAGAGCCGTCTTAGCGGATGTTTTGTTGGTCGGACTTGAATGGAATATTACGATGCCACAGGAGAGCATCACCTTGAAGAAACGAAAGGACGCCAAATATTCAAATAGAGAATATTGAAAAATACAAAGAAAAAGACAAACAGCATCATGAGAACAAAGAAACAAAATACAAGAACACTAGAAAAATAAAGATAATATAATGAGAAGAATTTAAAGTATAGAGAAGGAAACAGGGAACCAATAAGACAACAACAAAAGAAAGATACCAAAGAGACAAAGACAAAATACATGCAAAAAGCAGAGAAAGGCGAAAACAGAAGAAAGAAGAACAGAAACTAATCAACCAAAAGAAATTCATGCCGAAAATATTTTTTACTCATTCCATCCAATTTATAAAACCAATTATTCATCATATCACGACCAACTAATATCACTTTGTATTTCCTTTCACTCCATTGACTTCTAGTTTCTTTCCTTGATACATAGTTGCCCTTTCCTTTATCAAATATCTTAACATGATCTCCTTCACTTATGTTTAGATATGTTCTGTTGTGCTTTTCTTTCAGTATCAGATTTGTTCTGACCTGAATTATGTTATCAAGATTGTGCGCATTATTTGGTGATGTCTTGGTGCTACTGTGGACTTGGTTGTTGTATCTATTCAATGATGGCATCAGAACTTCCACCCATGTTTTGGTTTTGTAATGCTTCAATCTGTCCCCAATCATTTTTTTGACGGTGCGTATCATCCTTTCTGCCTGATTTGCATGCGTCTTTGTTATTACGTGTGTTATACCTTCCTCCTTAAACAATGTTTGCAGCTTCTTGCTGTTCAACGCTCCTTCGTCGTCGCTGTAAATCGACAAAGGCTGACCTAATACCTTGAAACACTCCATGACTGCTTTATAAACGGCATCACCATCTTTATTCTCGATAGGGACTATGTGACATTTTTTGCTGAAAATATCTATGCGTATTAAACCATATCGTAGTTGACTTTTGATTTCAGAACCTACGTCTCGCAACAAACTGGTAACATCCATCAAGTCAATTTGGAATTCATACTTGGGAAACGGAGCAGTGTAGGAATTGTAGTTCTTGTAGTTTCTTGTTTGCTTGTTCGGTTGCGCCCTCATCCATGTAGATACCATCTCCGAAGTTATGCCTGTATACATCGACTTTCCTAGCCTTTTCGTATAAGTCCCTCACCGAACCGAAGCCCTCGTCCACGTCGTAGTATATTCTTTCCAATACCTTTTCTTTTTCTAATCTTGTCATTAAAAATACTTAGATTATAATTTTATGATGTTCTCTTGCATCACAAAATCATAACGAACTTACACTAAGTACCTTTGGCACTTGTTGATTTTCTTGTGCTTTGCCAAGTTTGATTTACAACTTAAGTCAGAACCGCATATATCGCATACGCACGGTTGTTTCGTTTTCTCTTGGTAATATCTTTGGAAATACGTTTCGTCATTCGGTTTTCTGTTGTAGTAGCCGTCGTGTTGTTTTCTCCATTCAGCATTGGTGTTCTTGTTAACAGATGAGTTTGCTTTGTAGCTTTCTTCAGATGAAGATGTTTCGCTGTCAGTCAGTTCTTTGTTTCCAAAACCGTTCCAAATAAAGTCAAAGGTTTGATTAGTCATTGACATTTCAACTCCGTTGCTTACAAAGTAACAAGGCATATTGTGTATATATATAGTTAGTTATATATCTTAATATTTGTTTGAGTATGTTTATCCTCAATAGGAACTATGTATATATATATATACATAAATGGCCGTCCCTAACAAGAGGAAGAAAGCAAGGCAGGCAGGCACGCGGGCAGGCAGGCAGGGAGGCAGCCAGGGAGGGAGGGAGGGAGGGAGGGAGGAGAGGAAGGAGGAAGTAACTCTAATGAATAAGCTGCTTATTGAGGAATTTTGGACCATTTTTTGCCGATTTTTTGTTGCTTCCTTCCAGAGAGTGTTTAGGTGGCTTCTGCCCGGAAAAGCTGGTTCTTGCAATATGCTCAAAACTGCGTAAATACCAGTGTTGTTGGCTGGTTATCGTGGTTTTTGATGCCAAGTGCAACAAACAAAACATCGCACATACCGTGCTTTTGGCGTTCCAGGTCTGCAAAAATATCGGTATTAACGTTGTTTTTTTGGGTCCGAACATCGCTAAAAGTCACGAACACACCACCTATTTGACGACTTTCAGGCACTGAAAAATTGAGAAAAAAGATATGTGGCAAGATGGTTACAAGCTGCACGATGTGTATAAGGAATATTACACTGTGAGCGCGCGCAGAGAGCACAACATAATCAACACTAACGCTCGCTCTACCAACCCTTATGGCATCGCTGGTGTGCAAAGCTCTACGATTAGAATAGGGTTCCGGATGGTTCCCGTGAGGCTATCAAAGGCGACTTTTTATTGATCCCGACTTTTTGGATTTGCATGCCCGTTTCGCCCTGAGATTGAACTGTAAACCTTTGTGCCTTTCGTGCCAGTCGTAGCCGAATAAAGAAATATCTGGTGAAACTGCATTAGCTTGCGAATGCGATCATGTTGAACGCACTTCAAATTCTTGGACCTGGAATGCATGCGGCACCCTGTCGTCCCATAACAACGAAGCAACCGAAACTAAACTCCAATGACACCGATAAGATGCCATTGCTGAGCAAAAGAAAAGTTGCATCGTTAATTCATGCTACTACATTTTCTGCTCAACGTGCAGGTCTCTCTTCTTCAAGAAACCGACCTGCCATCAAAGGCCAACAGGCATGAACATGGTTGAAAGATGTTGAAAGGGACAGCAAGTGGCGTGAAGGCAGCGAACTTGTCACTCCCAAATAATGCCGGCTTGGCTGGGCTCGCTGCAATTTCCTCACCTCGTGTTTCACTGCAATCCGTTCTTGCTTTTGATCGCTGCTCAAAACCTACCCTATGTTCGTGGACCAATTCTCCTTTTGCTGGAAAAGGACATGGCTAAAGTGGTTGGTCCCCGATCAGTCGTGAAGGTCGTGACAACAATTGGAACATTCCAAGTCCACTTCCTATTACCTGTGTCTTCTGCAAATTTTGTCGAATACTCGTGGGGCCAACCTGTCGACAAAACATGACAAAACATAGGGGCTACAGCTTTGCAAATTCTACAACTGAACAGAGCCTCCTCGCGCGATGGCTTCCTCGGTCTCGAAGAATTTCTTTTTTGCTCCTTGAATGCTTGCTTCTGTCACAGGCAAATCGCTGCATGTAAAGCAATCTTTCATGTACTTTGTATGAAGGACCCGCCTCTATTGGAGTCTGACGTGGTCGTAGGTAAGACGGAAGCCTCCTACGATCAGGTCGTCGTTTGGCCACGACATCCTGAGATTTGGGATGGCCATGCTTCAGCAAATTGGAATCATTCGGGCATCTTACAATTCACAATGACCGTTGCTTAGACATCAACATCCTGAACTATCTTAATCAAACCTTCCACGTAGGATCACTGAGGATTTGACAGGCGCCTCAGAACGAACGTCTGAACATCGACCTGACAGAGCCGCAGAAAGAATCATCATGAATCATCTATAGTCTATATAAGTCTCACACGCACAAGCAAAATCATGCTTTCTTGTGCGGGGCTTGCCTCCAGCTGCCCCTGCTCTTGAAATCTCAGTTGCGGCTTTGCTGGGTCCTGGAGGTCCGTGACTGTCGATACGCTGTGAAGTTAGTAATAGCACCTCCTAAAATCATGCGACCATGCAGTTGTGCAGAAGCGAGCCATTCACCTAGAGCTCCACAGCCATAGCACACCAATGTTCTGTCCACTATTGATCTACAGACATCTCTATGAGTACTTGACACTGTGTGAGACATGTCCAAACCTAGTCGCTTTGCCAGGCCCTTGCTGACAGAAACGGCTGAATTTGCTTTTGCACTATTCAATGTTCCTATCTGACACGTGGACGGTGTGCACGACCATACATTTTCGGCCAGAACAATGTGGACAGGTGCCTAGCTCAAACTGATATGAATTATTTTGGCCCTGGTGAAGCTTGTGTTTCTAGTTGCCAGTCAGAAACAAACACGAAAAACAAAGAAGCAAAAAGAAGCTCAAACGAGAAAAGCAAATATAAGCAAAGAAGCAGAGAAAGAAAACATCTTAAAGGCAAACAAGCCAAAAAAAAAACAAAGAAGCAGAAAAGAAAAGCTAAAAGGAAAAGAAGCAGAAAAGAAAAGCTAAAAGGAAAAGAAGCAGAAAAACATAAGTAAGCAGAAAAGCAAGAAAGCAGAAAAGCATTAAAGTAATATGAGAGGAAGAAATCCAAAAAAGACGCCCTAAACAAAATATAACTTCCTAAACGAACCGCTACCCATTTCCATACACATGCGTTGACATGAAACAATCTACCGAGCTACCTGTTCACTACCCCCTGGCAAATCCCGCAGATCCCGCAGTGCCACCAAATCAAATCAAATCCCATGTCCCGTTTTCAGCCAAAGAAAAAGCGACATATAAAGCTCCCATGCCTATATAAATATTGTACTTTTTGATGCGGGCGACAGCAATCTATAATGCGACGCGCCCCTATTCGGATGGAGGTAAGTTTGCTAACGCAAGACCCCCAAAAAAGTATTCATCTCTTGCAATGATAATGTACGCGCAGCACTTCTAGTGGCATTTGTTCAAGAAACCCCTCAGCAAATCTTTCCGACGCACACCTGTCCTTCAATGCAGGGTAGCCGGTCACTACGGTCACTTGGTAGGCTGTACCGGCAGCTATCCTTGCAAGGCTTGCCACTCTGACTGGCCACCTCTGCTTCAAGTAACCTTGGCTGTCAAACATAGCCATTTGAGATATTGGATCATATCTGCATTGCCCATATAATCCACCGCCATTTCTCTGCAAATGCACGTTTGCATACGGTATACGTAAACATAAAAAGACAGATAGAGAAATACAACATCTTACATCTCTTACATGCAACTATTGATTATATCATGAATATAAATCATCATACATAATGTATGTAGGAATGCTTGGGTGGGTAGGTGGGAGGGGATGTATGAGTATTCACATGCAATACGGTAATGCGGTCATGCAGTAAATACTGTAATACATGTATTACTTGTGCTCACATGGGCTTGATCCGTTCCATGTCATGTATTGTTCTGATTCAAGCGGCTGCAACGTGCTCAATGGCACGCGCTCCCTGGAGGAGGTACACCGAAATAGGTTGGTGGCGGAGAGGTTGTAGTCATCAACATCCCTTGATGGTGGCGAGTTTGTGCATTTGGAATCGTTGTTTTCGTCCTGGCTACTGGAATAGGGGCTCCAAGTATACGGAGGGTCAGATGATAGCTGTAGCTCCAAGCTTTCATCATCCAGGAAGCTTCCCGTCAGCGCAGCTCGCAGCACAGCAGACGCTGAAAGAATGTCCTCATTTTCCCGCGAGTTTCGAGGTGACGGCAATGACAGCTCACTGAAAGAACTCTTAGGTCGAATGTCTTGGTCTCGCGGACATTCCAAACCTCGACCAGTTGCCCGGGGCCTCACAAGCGGTCTGGGCTGCCTGGGCTTGCTGCCATTGCTTGCTGCCCGTGTTTTGGATCTGACTGAAGCTCCACGTTTTCGTGACTTGTCCTTCCGTCGCGCACGCTCCTCCATCCTTGCGAACTTGCCACTTGCTGGTCGCAGCGCAGGGAGGCGACAGGGATCCATCCTTGGCCCCTCGTCGCGCCGTGTCAAGCTCGAGCTGAGCCCTATCCACTTGCTATCTGAAGGAAGCTCAAAACTTCGCCGCAAGGACAAAGACACATCGGAACTAGCAGTGTCATTGCAGCGATTCCAAAGGCGCGCATTATGAAGCATGGCGGCTATGGCCATCAATGGCCCATTCGTCCTACCTGTACAGCCTCCATTTTTGGCTTGAGAGAGTGACGGTCAAATCCAATTAGGGTGGAGCTGACATCTTCATGAAACATGCTACTGCCCATCCGAGAATTTGAAATGCTCAAAACAATGAACCGCCTGGCGTCGCATACACGCCTTTTTTTCCTGGCCAAGCCCGGCTTGCAGCTGCAATGCTAATTTGGCCTGCACCTTAGGCCAGGGATGATTAGAGTCATCGCCACGCGCCGCCCGGCGCTTTCAACACTAAAAATAAACTTTCCAGCTAAGCGCAATGTAGGCGCATGACGTCCAGACCTAGCCCTTTAAATGATAGCAGCAGGCCAGCTTCCTGCCCCAACAAGCCTGGCAAATCAAAGTGCAAGTGACTGCACACCCTTCGGATCCCTTGGGTTTGAATTGACCAAATGACAGTCCTTCTTGCTCACAATGGGTCCTCAGGACAACACAAGTGGCCAACTTAATAGCAGCTGAGAAAAGTGAGCAACTTACTTACATTTCACTACTCATGAACTAAAAGCCCAAGTTCTGCACAGTAATGGCCCGCAGCTGACCATGTCAGTCTCAATGCTCCTGGGGGTTTCAATCAAAATGATCCTTACGTCCAATCTACCATCCATTACAGTCCACTCCATAGAGCCCGTCATGCTTGAAGCATTGTCCTGGATGCAAGTTGTTCCACCGAAAGCAAAGCAGATTCCCATTGCTGCTCTTCAACCAGAACCAGCCTGCAGCTCAAGGTGGCTCAATGGTTGATGATTCAATGATGATGCATGATGCGTGAATCCACGGATGAAAAGCGCGCAAAGATGCGCAAAGTTTCAATGGCCCTGGCCCCAGTCCCTGAGTTGCCCGCAAAGTTGCTGCAATTCCTGGTTTGGTCTGTCGATTCTCCTCGGCAGGCTCCGAAGGCGTGCCATGTGCATGGAAGTCTCACAAAGGCTGCTGGAACTAAGACATGTGCAATGGATTCCATGCCTGACAAGGCCGCGCAAAGCGTTGAAGCAAAAACGATCAAAGTCCAAAGCGATCCAAAAGGGAAGAATCGAAGAGTAATCTTTGAGTAATCTAAGTGCTAAAAGCTGCCACACCAAGGCAAGGAATTTGGTTCAGGGCGCCTCTGCGCTCAAAAAGTGATCTGGACAGGAGTTCGACTGGATGACGCCAGCTCCTACTCATGGCGGCCAAAGCACTTCAATGCAAGCACATCGTATTTTTTGTCCATGGTGGGTCATCCAATTAGTTTTGCCTCACAATTTTCCCACGTATTACCCAACTTTTCCTCCACTGGTTTTCCCTTCTGAAACGCCGCGTGGTGCTTTAGTATTTCTCATCTCATCCTCTCTCTCTCTCTCTCTCCCAGCTTTCATGTAGCCCCGCCCATCCATGACAGGGGGACCAGCCGACTCGGCATGTTTTCCACCCTGTGTCTTCATGTCTTGACCGTCCCACAGACTTACAGCACTTGCAGCGCAGCAAAGCAACACCCTAATACTGCGCAGCTTCTTCAGCGCGACTGCAATCCAACACACTTCCCACCACATGCACCGCAGCTCCCTCTTCCCTTATCCTTGGAAGCAGCGCTTCCCTTGCAGTAAGGGGGGCAAACAAAAACCCATCCATATGAATACTTACTAATTGCTATAGTTTTTCTTCCATTTTATATTATATGATAATACCAGTAGTACCGCACAAGGCGGTGGCGGAAGTTTCAGAAATAGGAAACCTATAGGAGAGGTTGGTTGTTGTGAATCACGGATGGCAGAGCGAAGCCACTGATGGACCGACAGGTGGTTGAGGTCTCCTCTCTTTCTCTCTCTTTCTCTCTCTTTCTCTCTCTTTCTCTCTCTTTCTCTCTCTTTCTCTCTCTTTCTCTCTCTTTCTCTCTCTTTCTCTCTCTTTCTCTCTCTTTCTCTCTCTTTTTTTCTCTTTTTCTGACTATCTACCTACCTACCTATCTATCTGCCTACCTACCTACCTATCTATCTATCTATCTTTCTTTCTTTCTGTCTATCTATCTGTCTATCTATCGATCGATCTATCTATCTCTCTCTCTCTCTCTCTCTCTATCTCTCTCTATCTCTCTATCTCTCTGTCTGTCTGTCTGTCTGTCTATCTATCTGTCTATCTGCAACCTTGAGAACGAAGTTATTCTGCGAGACTTCCTCAATTTTTGAACTAAACAACGTCAAAAACGAAACAATACTGCGAGACTTCTTCATTTTTTGAACTTGACAACATCCAAAACGAAGCAATTCTGCGAGACTTCTTCAATTTTTGAACTTGATAACATCAAAAACCAAGCAGTTCTGCGAGACTTCCTTCAAAAATGGAAAGTTGAGTGCAGCGCTGACAGCCTCGTACCAATGCGTTTTGCGATTTTTCCACTCCACCTGTCTAAAGTACTGCGCCTGCCACGAAAAATTGATGCAGGTCATACGAAGTGCTGCACCTGTCACGCAAAATCATCTTAGCAAACCTCAGATCTGATGCTCCAAAATGCAACCCCTCTCAGGAAATCAGCGCCCTGACCTCCTAACATCTTTGATGAACATGTCTGTTGTATTGCGCCTGCCACGGAAAATGCATATTTGCAGATCCTCTTCAAATGTCCCACTCCTGCCATCCTTTTTGGAAATGCTACAAAACCCTCACGTTTTGCTCACTTTTGACAAGGTGCACAATCCCTTGCGCCTGCCACGCGAAATGACATCTGAACCTCCAAAAGTGGTCCGAACCCCTGGTGTTTTTAACATTTTGACTTCGAAATGTGCTTCGCGCCACAACGGCGTGCACTTTTTCGACGTCGCAACTTCTAAAAGTGGTCCGAAGCTGGTGTGTTTTTTACGCGTTTGACTTCGAAATGTGCTTCGCACCACAACGGCGTGCACTTTTTCGACATCGCAACTTCTAAAAGTGCTCCGAAGCTGAGGTGTTTTATACATTTTGACTTGGAAATGTGCTTCGCGCCACAACGGCGTGCAATGTTTCATCTCTCATCTGGCCAGCTGGCTCCGCACCCGCCGCTTTAGCGAGCCTACTTTTCGACCCTCCGGAGCCACAAATCTTTGGAAAAACACAGTGTTTCGCGACTTTCCTACCTTTTCGCACACCTGGATCTTCTTTCTTCTGAGACTTTCTCTTTCTTCTTCTCTTCTCTTCTCTGACTCTTCCCATCTCTGCTTTTCATCTGTCCTTATTGTCGGAAGTTTGTCTTCTAAACTTCCTGGTCCTTCGAATAATAATAGAAATAATAATAAATTAAATATATATATATATGTATGTATGTATGTATGTATGTAGGTAGGTATGTATGTATGTATGTATGTTATATACATCGGGATGCCATGGAATACGCATTGGCACACCGGTGTTGCAGCTTCACTTCGGAACCTGCCACTGCTGCAAGCGCTCACCGCCTTGGATACCCCAAAAGGATCACCTCCTAAGTCTCCGTACTACTCGGAAGCTACTCAGTACTACTCGGAGGCCACTAGGATACCACTAGGATGCCACTGGGATGCCGGGATGCCACTGGGATGCGTCCAGGTTGCAGCGTTTAAAACTGGCCACTCCAACATAAATCGCGCGTGCACCTGTGCTGACCTCAGAGCGATACCATCAAATCCGCTCCAGGACTTCTCCCAGGCTTCACTCATCACAAAATCGATTAAAAATCGTCTGTGGTGGACGCCTGTAAGAGGGGCTCAGCACGAAGATCATTTCTTGACATAGGAGGATGTTGATTCCTATGTCACTGTCACTCCGTACATGTTACTCTTCAACCTCTTCAATCTTCAGCCGCTGTGCTGGGTGCGTGGCAGGATTTGCAGACTGAATTCCCATGATCCCTGAGTGCGGGGACATTCAACAGGAAGCACAATGAAACAAATATGGTATTTATATTGTATCAGATAGGTTTACCATTGCTTACCATGAAACAAAATGAAACACGTTCACCGCCCGCAGACTTCACACTTTTTGCTGGAAGCATGCTGCTAGCAGCCCTAGCTGATAAACTTTCCAGCAACAAAATCGAAGGGCGCAAGTAATTTGCTTGCTGGCTGCTTGTGATTGCAACCTCGTACAAAATTTCGTTAGGCACTAGCCTTTGCCACACAGAAATTTCCAGCAGCTCCATCGCTCTGCGCCATTGTCCAGGCTTGCAAGCGACAGCTGCAGCCTCGGAGCCCGACAACGTTCCCATTGCCATTATTATCATTATTATATATTATTATTTCATATCATTTCATACTGTCATATATTATCTCATATCATTTCATATTATTTCATACCAGTAGTACCCGCACGAGGCGGGGCGGAAGTTGCCTTAAAGATATATAAAAGACCTTTCTCATCTATAGAACTTGCATGCGCCGTGCGCCAGCCAAGCCCGTGCGTGCGTGCACTCTGCGAAAGTGGTGTCCTGTTTCACATGTCACATTTGAAGGTCCACTTCGCCCTTCACACTTCTCACTGCACTCTTCACACTCCACACTGCACACTTCACACTTCACACTTCACACTCCACACTTCTCACTTCACACTGCACTCTTCCCAATCCACACTTCACACTTCACTGCACGCTTCCCACTGCACACTCCACACTTCACACTTCACACTCCACACTTCACACTTCACACTCCACACTTCACACTGCACTCTTCACGCCCCACACTTCACACTGCACTCTTCACACTCCACACTTCATCTCATCTGAGCTCTTCTCACCTTATCCCAGCTCATCTCTTCTCATCTCATCTCTTTTCATATGTCATCTAAGCTTTCATGAATCACTTCCCAGTACTTCTACAAAGGAACTGGATCTCGACGCCAAAGCGACAAAAAGACGATTTTGAAGCACTTTTTAAAAGGAATTTTAAAAGGAATGCAGCATGCAGCCGGTGCACCCATCCTGTTCTGATTCGCATTCCCCAGTTTCTTCACAAACTTTGAATTCCTTATGTGTCCTTTTTTTACCATACCTTTTTTTGCTTGGCATCACACAGAAACTGTTTTAGTTTTGCATCAAACACCATTGAAGCTACATGTCTTTACTTCAGAAGTAAGCAGAACTCAGCAAGCTTGTCAAGCAGAGAAGCTTTTACACACAGAAGCTTTTACACACAACAAGCTTCTTCACAGAGAAGCTTTCACACACAGCAAGCGTTTACACACAGAACACTTACACACAGTGCTTTTACACATGGCAAGCGTTTACACACAAAAACTTTTGCACAGAGACGCTTTTACACACAGAGAGGCTTTTACACACAGCAAGCTTTTACACGCAAAATCTTTTTCACACAGCAAGCTTTCAAACACAGCAAGCGTTTACACACAGAACACTTACACACAGTGCTTTTACACATGGCAAGCGTTTACACAGAAGCTTTTTAAACAGAGAAGCTTTTACACACAACAAGCTTTTACACAGAGAAGCTTTACACAGCAAGCTTTCACACACAGCAAGCTTCTTCACAGAGAAGCTTTTACACACAGCAAGCTTTCACACACAGCAAGCGTTTACACACAGAAGACTTACACACAGTGCTTTTACACATGGCAAGCGTTTACACACACAGCAAGCTTTTTAAACAGAGAAGCTTTTACACACAACAAGCTTTTACACAGAGAAGCTTTTACACACAGCAAGCTTTCACACACAGCAAGCGTTTACACACAGAACACTTACGCACAGTGCTTTTACACATGGCAAGCGTTTACACACAGAAACTTTTACACAGAGACGCTTTTACACACAGAGAAGCTTTTACACACAGCAAGCTTTTACAGAAAAAGTTTTTGCACAGAGAAGCTTTCTTGTACATAATCACAACAGGAATTGCAGCTCCAAAACTGGATCTCGACGCCAAAGCGACAAAAAGACGATTTTGAAGCACTTTTTAAAAGGAATTTTAAAAGGAAAATTATTAGCCCCAAAATTGAGAAAATCTGCTGACAAATCACTTTCGCAGCCTTGATGCAGCCATTTTCCAATACGATTGACGATCTTCAGCTGCAAAAGACAATAGTATTACGCATGCAGCCGCTGCACCAAGCAACCTTGACGCAGCCACTACAATGCGATCTGCAGCGACTGAGTTGCAAAACACAATTAGAACTACGTGCAATGGCGTCGGAAATTGCAGCTCCAAAACCGGATCTCGACGCCAAAGCGACAAAAAGACGATTTTGAAGCACTTTTTAAAAGGAATTTTAAAAGGAAAATTATTAGCGCCAAAATTGAGAAAATCTGCTGACAATTCACTTTCGCAGCCTTGATGCAGCCATTCCAATACGATTTACGATCTTCAGCTGCAAAAGACAATAGTATTACGCATGCAGCCGCGGCATCAAGCAACCTTGACGCAGCCACTACAATGCGTTTCGCAGCATCCCGTAGCAAACCTGCACCTATCTACGGACGTGGCAACACCAAATGACAACAATCATGCAGCCATTCCAATGTGATCTGCCACCACAGCTGCAAGAAATGCATAGAACTACGCACACAGGAACAACCACTTGTTGCAAAACACATAGAAGGAACCAATCGCGTCCGGAACGACCCCAGCCGCAACCGCCGCA